CTTGCCAAGGGGCCACTGGGGACTGTCTAGTATCCTACTTCATCTATGTCAGGAGCCACACTGCCTGCCTGGGGTTGGCTCACAGGTGGTAAGGAAACAGCTGTTGTTCCTGCAGGCTGCCCAGGGGGAAGCTCCAGGATGCTGCTCCAACAGGTTTGGCCTGACCCCCACTGCACAGGGGAGCCTTGGCCAGAGTTCTCCTCCCCAACCCACCTTTCACCAGAGCAGTGCCTGAGGAACTCCTGCCAGCTCCTGGGATTGCTAAAGACATGGCCTGGAATACTCTATGGCTGAAGTGTAAGGGAACCACAGGCCACTTGGGAAGACATAGGTACACTCCTAGGAAGACCCAGAAGATTCTGTGTCTGGGCAAGAATGCCTGAGATCCTTATGCCACATACACGTGGTGGAATCCGCCCAAACTCTCTTATGCATCTGACCTCCGAAACCTCTCACCACATTTTGAGATATAAAGTGCAAACTTCTAAAAGTAAAAGGACAAAAGTTCTTATTTCCTTTCTGAATGGCATTCCTTCCTGGATTTCCAGTTGTGATTATGCCAATTATACATTTAAGCATAATCAATACTTGAATCTCCTGGAACTCGATCAAGTCTGGATCCATCCATGAACAAAGACATTACATCGTTAAGAGATAGTTATTTAGATGGAGACAACTATGCTTTTACTAAAGAACATTGCTTTTCATAGAAATTTTGGCCTAGCCTATGTTATAATAAAGGAGAATTTACAGTTTCAAAAAGTGCTTTCCTTCAAACTCCTATAATTCTTCTCCTTGTTCTTTCTAAATCAAACATATACTTTCTCCCCCAAATGCTACATATGGACAGGTCTCTCTAATATTTGAAAAGCCTAAAATTAGAGCACCAAAGAAGGTCCCTGGCCACAGTACCCCTTTCCAGCTCTGGCCATGTGTTACCAGAGCTCTCCTGGGGAAACCCCAGTCACATCTCCAGCTGTTTCTTACACAGCTGCCCCTTGGTTTTCCCTTGGCCCGACAGGATGGACACTTGTGACATAACTAGCCCCCAGGAGGAGGATGGGACAAGGCCCTCACACACTTAGGCAGTTGTGCATGGAATTCCAGGGTCCCAAGAACCTTTAGCAGGAGTGGGGTTATGAGCTGTGCTGGGCATTCCCCTCAGAGGCCTGAAATTCTGCTCTTTGAGGTAGTGTCTGACCACATGAGGAACTGAACATGGCCCCTCTAAAGCACAAGGTACAGGTAGGGACCTGTGTTGCTGTGGTCCAAAGGTTGTATTACATGCACAATAGCCACACAACATCTGTTTATGTATTCCATCCATAAATATCTTGGTCTGGATGTTCTATCCACATTTGTCCCAGGCATATCATTGTCACAGATTCCAAGGACCTAGAAGGCAAAAAGCAGGGAGTCATTTTCTTTGCATAGCAACTACTTTGTTTATTTAGCCAAAGATTCCTCTTGATGTTGCAATGCAAATATAAAGAAGTCAATGGCCTGATGAAATCCTTAAAGAGGATCGAAGGAATATTTATTCCAAGTCATGTACAAGCTAGGTTGTATGATGCTGTCAAAGAATAAAGATGTTAATAAATTTAACCCCAAAGATGCAGATGGAAGATTTGGAGGGTCCTACCATAACTCCTGAAAGACAGGTGGTCTGAAAATTAAATGTGAACATGTAGCATTACAGAAATGAAGAACTTCCGGGTCACATACGAATAGCACATGAATTTACTCTCAAGTATTTAAACATCATTATTTGGAAAATTCAGCCTCAGATGATACACCTTAAAAAAAGCAGGGGGGAGAATTCGTTTAAAAGATGGTGGTTACACTTTTCGAGAATTTGTATGAATGTGTGTGTTATCACTTTATCTGTAGATTTCAAAATCTCACTCTAACTGAAAACTAGATTGAGGAGCTAAAAACACCTATCAGAAACTGTTCACACTCATTTGGAATACTGCATATGTATCCATTGTAAACAGGGCTAACAACTTGCAGTTGATGAGTTGCTTCAAGAATATGGAATGTGATAGAAAAACAGTTGTCTTTTGGTACCAGAGACTGAACCCAGGGGTACTTAATCACTGAACCGCATCCCAGTCCTTTTTGTATTTTATATTTTTTGACACAGGGTTTTTTTTGCTAAGTGGCTTAGGGCCTCATTAAATTGCTGAGGGTGACTGTGAACTTGTGATCTTCCTGCCTCAGTATCCCAAAATGCTGGGATTACAGACTTGCAGCACCACACCCCACAAAGCAATTGTCTTTTGACACGAAAGCAAGTATAATGTTGTTTTACTAGCAATATAGGACTACCGGTAGAAATATTAAACACTAGTAAAGAATGTAAAGAAAGCCAAAACAGAAAAAAAAATACTAAACGTTGGCAGAAGTCTAATAATTTTGTAAGACTTAATTAGAGATGACTATGAGCAAATTTGTCTATGAGCAAAATCTAGAGTCCTGTGGCCTTCTGAAGGCCCTGTCTACTGTCCTCTTATACTTTGAGTTTTTTTGCAAAAGGTCCAGAGGACAAAGCAGCTTATGCAAAGAGGTAGGATCTTATTTCTGCTTCTTCCTCTTCCATACCAGGCTTCATGGAGCTTCCATTCCATTTGCTACTCAAAAGGCTCTTGGCACTCTCAGAGGCTGTGGGTGGCGGGAGCTCACCTGCTTTGAAGCTCATGATATGTGAGCTCCATTCCAGGAACCTCCAGTGATTCAAGCTGGGAGTCCACAGCCTTTAAGCATTGGTTCCTTTGAAAAATTCGGATCATCTCTATTGTAGGCAGGGACTGAAGGTCCCCCTAATGGTTTCTCTGGCCCCGATCAAAGATCTGGGAACCTGTGCTCTATTGTACAAGGCTTAGGTTTTGTTCTCCTCTTAATGTAGTTGAACTTTCAGAGTCATCAAGAACTAAAGGGAATTTCAGGCTTTCAAAATAAGAACTAAAACCCAAACTACCTGGATAACTTTATATTGATAAAATAGACACTTGGTTCCCCAACTTCACCTTTCATTTGAAATCCAAAACAAATCACAAGCAAACCTGGTGCCCAAAATGGACTTTTCACTATCTGCTTACCTTGATTTCTCGAATATCCATCGCCTCACAAAGCCAAGGTCCCTGTTCACCCATGAATTCTTTGCTGACCACCCTATCAGTGATCTCAACTTTTTCTAAATTCAGAACTTGCTTCTGTCATGTCCCTGTACGAATTTCTCAGTGTGGCAGTGAAACAAAGAAATTATTAAAAATAATTCAAATCTTTGCATCTTTATCATATCACCACTTTATATTTTCATTTGACCTTTCAATGGATTGCCTTCCCAATAGATTGTCAACCTCTGAAGGTGAGGATATGTCTCATTCCTTTAATTTTCCACACTATTGCAGAGTGAAATTATATTTTTCTTTCTGGACAACTTGGGTACAGGCAGAGAAGAAGGAGCTTCTCTCTCTCTCTCTCTCAAATAAGATAGTCTGCATAAATAAATAGTAATTAATACCTATCCCGTGCTCATTCCATGCTCAGCAGGAGCAACCTCCAAAGAGCCATTAATAAAACGCTCCATTCCCTATTGCTTATAAAAGGTAATACTTCCCCCAACTAAACCCAGCCTGAGTACTTACAGGCCTAAAAACTTTGAAGATCACTGCAAGCCTGGGCATAAAGCAGGAGGGCCCTGCAGGTAGCAGTCACCACAGGGCTGTGCAGGTTATTATCCATATGCACACGTGCAGAGCCTACCCCAAGGGCTCTGAGACTGGAGAATTAATGGGACTGAATCACCAAAATCTGACAGACACTTTCATGGTGGCAGAACCAGTTCTGAGCTTTCTTCTTGCTCTTCCCTACAGCAGATCAAGCAAATATTAAGTTCAGATACCTACAAGAGGGTGGTGCTTTTCTGTATTTGGAACAATCAGAGACCCAAATACGCAATAGTCTGAATGGGTTGAACTAGCCTCTTTGTACTGCAGTTCATCGACCACTTTCTGCAGGCAATCTCCCCCCTCCCCAGCCCCATACTTCACGTCGAAAAATGCTGGCGAACTCTGGTGCTGCACAAACTTCCCTCAGGTTGGCACCTAAAGAATAAATGGGTAAACACCTTAAGGCAAGGCGAGCTCCTACTGTTCCAAAGCGGCTGGTGTACTCGCCTAAAATAAAAAGGTCTCTGTCTGCAAATCCCGTTTGCTCGCCCGGTAATCCACTCCCACCCCCAGCCCTGCGTGGCAGACCCGTACAGCTGTTTTTAATCCCTACTTTTCTCACTTGGCGTCCCGGGCTCGGGCTGACCAGACGCGGAGTCACTTAGCGTTTCCTCCTCCCCCTGCCGAGGTCTGTCCTCCCTCCGCTGTCTCCTCTTTCTCCGCCTGCGTCCCCGGGGGGCAGAGTGTGGGAAGAACGAATTTCCGCCGGGTTTGGTCGCTTCTAGCCGACTTGGGTCCCTTCCGGACGCAGCCCGCGCGCCCCCCGGGCTGTTGCACCGGGCCCGCGTTCAGAATCCTGGACAAGAGCGAGGAGGCGCCGGCTGCGGGGGGCGAGCCGCCGGGGTTCAGCAGCCAAGCCTCGCCCCGCGGAGCTCTTGGAAGGACTCCCGCCTGCAGCTGGGGAATCCGCTCGGCGGGGAGAATCCGCGCCAGGGAATCCAGCTCTCCCGACTCGGCTGCAAACAAAAAGCGCGAGGTCTTGCTCCCTCCCCTCTACCCCACGACGCGCACCCGGAGAAACAGTTTTTTGCAGAAATGCAACAAGTAGCATCTGTGGCTCCAGGAGCACCCTGCGCCGCCTGACTTGGCCCAGCGAAACCTGCCTGCAGAAACCCAGGCCAGCCACCGGACAAAAGGCGGAGGAGGGGCAGAGAAGTCCAAAAGAGGCCTTTAAGCGACTCTGGCCAGGCCAAGGGGAATGCAGAGGAGACATACAGCCGGCGGGCCAAGAGGACAAGCCGGCCGCAGCACGCAGGGCGGGCGGCGATGGAGGCTGTCCGCGCCGTGCGCTTCCTGTTCCTGGTGTGTGGTTGCCTGGCGCTCCCGCCACGGGCCGAGCCGGTGTGCCCCGAGCGCTGCGACTGCCAGCACCCCCAGCACCTCTTATGCACCAACAGGGGGCTCCGCGCCGTGCCCAAGACTAGCTCGCTGCCTAGCCCCCAGGACGTGCTCACCTACAGCCTTGGAGGCAACTTTATAACTAATATCACAGCCTTCGACTTTCACCGCCTGGGACAGCTCAGAAGGCTGGATTTGCAGTACAACCAGATCCGCTCTCTGCATCCCAAGACCTTCGAGAAGCTCTCACGGCTGGAAGAGCTCTACCTGGGGAATAACCTTCTGCAGGCGCTCACACCGGGCACATTGGCTCCGCTGCGCAAGCTGCGTATCCTGTACGCCAACGGGAACGAGATCGGCCGCCTAAGCCGTGGCTCTTTCGACGGCCTGGAGAGTCTGGTCAAGCTGCGGCTGGACGGGAATGCCCTAGGGGCGCTACCGGACGCAGTCTTCGCCCCTTTGGGAAACCTGCTCTACCTGCATCTGGAGTCCAACCGGATCCGCTTTCTGGGCAAGAACACCTTCTCCCAGCTGGGCAAACTGCGCTTCCTCAACCTCTCTACCAACGAACTGCAGCCCTCCCTGCGCCACGCAGCTACCTTCGCACCCCTGCGCTCCCTCTCCACTCTCATACTCTCAGCCAACAGCCTGCAACACCTCGGCCCGCGTGTCTTCCAGCACCTGCCACGCCTGGGCCTACTCTCCCTCAGGGGCAACCAACTTACTCACCTGGCACCAGAGGCCTTTTGGGGGTTGGAGGCCCTGCGCGAGCTGCGCCTAGAGGGCAATCGTCTGAACCAACTTCCCTTGGCGCTGCTGGAACCTTTGCATAGCCTGGAGGCCCTGGACCTCAGCAGCAATGAGTTGTCTGCCCTGCATCCCGCCACCTTTGGTCACTTGGGCCGACTGCGCGAGCTCAGCCTGCGTGACAACGCGCTCAGTGCCCTCTCAGGGGATATCTTCGCTGCCAGCCCGGCCCTCTACCGGCTGGATCTAGACGGCAACGGCTGGACCTGCGACTGCCGGTTGCGGGGCCTGAAGCGCTGGATGGGTGACTGGCATGCACAAGGCCGGCTCCTCACCGTTTTTGTGCAGTGTCGCTATCCCCCTGCCCTTCGGGGCAAGTACCTGGATTACCTGGATGATCAGCAGCTGCTGAACGGGTCTTGCGTGGATCCGTCCGCTTCCCCAACCGCCAATAGTAGGCGACTGACCCAGCCCACAGCCGCGGGGGAAAAGATGACTTCCCCTGCAGATGGTCTCCTGGAAGAGCAGGAACAGCCGCAGCCGCAGCCACAGCCCCAGCAGCGGGGTAGATTTCTAGGTGAGGTTGCCTGGGATGTGGCCGCCAGGGAGCTCATAGGTAACCGCAGCGCTCTAAGATTGAGCCGACGAGGTCCGGGCCTCCAGCACCAGAGCCCTTCTGCTGCTGCTGCTGTGGACCCCCCTCCACAGCCCCTGGACCTGCAGGAGAAGCCTAGTCTGGGACGTCCGACCCTGCCCGAGCCCATCCACGCGGAGCCCACACCAACCCAGCCCACTTCTACACAACCGGCCGCCGGCGACCCCTGGCAGCTCGCAGCGAAGCAACGCCTGGCCGCAGAGCAGCAGGAGGGCGCCTCCCAGTTCCAAGGCAGTGGGGTGAGCTTGCCGCCTATGGTATCTGACCCGTGTGACTTTAACAAGTTCATCCTATGCAACCTGACGGTGGAGGCAGTAGGCGCGGACAGTGCCTCGGTTCGCTGGGCCGTGCGTGAGCACCGCAGCCCCCGGCCGCTGGGCGGCGCGCGCTTTCGTCTGCTTTTCGACCGTTTTGGCCAGCAGCCCAAGTTCCACCGCTTCGTCTACTTGCCGGAGCGCAGCGACTCGGCCACGCTGCGCGAGCTACGCGGGGACACCCCCTACCTGGTGTGCGTGGAGGGAGTGCTTGGGGGCAGAGTTTGCCCTGTGGCCCCCCGGGACCACTGTGCAGGGTTGGTCACCCTGCCAGAGGCAGGGAATAGGAGTGGCGTCGACTATCAGCTGCTGACCTTGGCCCTCCTGGCAGTCAACGCACTACTGGTGCTCTTGGCCTTGGCCGTCTGGGCGTCTCGCTGGCTGCGGAGGAAGCTTCGGGCCAGGCGGAAGGGTGGAGCCCCGGTCCATGTTCGCCACATGTACTCCACCCGACGGCCCCTGCGCTCCATGGGCACTGGTGTGTCCGCAGACTTCTCGGGATTCCAATCTCACCGGCCACGCACCACCGTGTGTGCACTCAGTGAAGCGGACCTTATCGAGTTCCCCTGTGACCGATTCATGGACAGCACAGGTGGTGGTGCAGGAGGCAGCCTGAGGCGGGAGGATCACCTTCTGCAAAGATTTGCTGACTAGGTCCAGGGCAACCCTGCATGTGGAGGGAAACCATCTCATTGGCCTTGAAGAGCCACCTCTCCGTGGGGCTCCCAAGCCCAACTCAGGGGAAGACCTGTTAATACGTCTCCTTTTCCCCTTTTGTGCATTTGCCAGAGAGGACAAAGGGGACAGAGAGCCAATCTAGGTATTACCGTCCACTTCTGAGTACTAACTAATGAAGCAAATATATGATAGACGGTGGTCAAGGCCAAGAGTAGGGGGCAAATGGATGGTGGCTACAGAGGCAGAAGTCATGGCACAGCTAAGGGATGGCTCTTATAACCATGCTATGCAATAGCCTGTTCTCCTTTGGGCTAGAAAAGGGTGCTTATGACCCAACAAACATGGCCAGAAAGAGCCAAGCCAAGCCGGGAGTGCATGCTTTTTTGTTTATTCAGTGTCAAACAGAGGAGTTTTGTTTCTATTTAAGGAAAAAGGAACTTATTTCCATTACAAAGGAGGCTTGGCATCTGACTCTCCAGGTCTGGGGGTTCTCTGCCAGGAAGGGTGAAGTAAACAGGTGGTAACACTCTCGCCAAGAAACTCAAATTATGTTGGCTGATAGCGCATTGCATTCAGGATACCCTAAGGTTTAAATAATAAAAGACGCTATTTTTTTTCAACAATGTGAAGATCTCTGACATTTAACAAACTGACCAATAAACTCAAAGACAATTTTAATTGGACTGGGCCGTTCAACTAGTTTCCTTTTAACATGAACAGACAAGAACATTTGCTGACTCTAAGGGTAACTAACATTACATACTTTGTCAGGAGAAGGCTGCATACAAGACTTCTCTTTCAGGGTTGTTCCTGTGGTTTTAATTTTATTCTTTTAAACCTATATATGGAAAAGGAAAAAAAATCAATGTCAGATTTGATAAAAGAATGTAATATGTATGTAACTGATGACCCCCCGAGGGAACTCAAGCAATCCAGCTTACCACTTCTCTGACAGTGTGTCTACATGGGAATAAATGCAATGTACTTCTCATTGCATTTTAATCAGTGACACTCAGTTGACTGCGCCTACTTCTGAGTTTCACAGTTAAGCAGTAAAAGTAATTTCTTAACAAGCAAAAGGTGATTGTTGGGGCCAGGGTGTAGCTCAGTGGTGGAGCACTTGCCTAATGTATGAAGTCGTGGGTTCCATCCCCAGCATCACAGAGACAAAACAAAAGGTAATTGTCAATTGATAATGTAATCTTTGACCACATTAATGTCTGTCCTTATATGAAACCGTAGACAGGAAGAAATTACGGAAGACAAATGTGAAAAAAAAAATACATCAATGGGTATCTGTTTCTACTAAAACTAGAAGGTTTTTATGAGTACTTAACCCTCACTGTGAAAGAATTCTATAGTTTGCAAATTAATCCTTCTACTACCCAGTGTTTTACTGTGTGATTAAATCTTATCTTTTAGTAAATAGTTGTGGTATTACTTTTCAATATTTTTATTTTAAACTTAGGGTTAGTCTCCTTTATTGGTTTAGTTTCCAGCTATTTGGGATACTTTCAATCCCTAATATTTATGAAGTACATGTTTATCTCTAAATGTAGTGGTTTGGTTTACATTAATAATTTTGTGTGTGGTCTAAAAATCAGTCACTGGGAGGGTATACACTGTGGTTATAGTCACCATGTTTGTGGATTTATTGGCATTGGAGTACCATGGAGGCCACTATAATGGTGCTAAGGCTAACAGTGAGTCTTCTGTTTAGGGCCTCAAGCCCCTGAGGGTCCTGATGACTCAGGGAATCCATCACAGTCCAGGGGTCCTTTAACCCAGGTCACTTCTTTTATGTTTGGCCTAAATTGAGCCATGCCTGACCTTGTCCCAGCCACTGAGCAGGGATCCAGGGACTTAAATGAGCTGATCTTTGTTTATGTTCAGATGAGTAAATGTCCAGACCACTTAAACTACAGCTGCTTTTCTGGCAGTCTTATCTGCAGGGCCAAAACTTAATAAACCACAGGAAATAGACTGTCATTCTTTGTTTGCCACCAGTGCTTGTTTTAGATTCAGAACATATTGGTACATAGGGGAGGTAGAGTTTTTTGCTCTTATTTTCAACCAGCTGGCTATCTGGCACCTTTTGTATTCCTGGCTTTTCTTCTTTGTGATATAATTGTATCTCTTAGCTGTTTCTTTGCACAGCAGTGTGATATTAAGTCCCACTGAAAATGCGGAAAAGACCTCTGATTCTATCCATCACCCACCTTTTCTGCTGCAGAACATCACTGGAAATGCTTACTGCCTGGATCTGTGTTCTACTTAAAACAGTTTCACTGGAAAGTCTTTCAGTGGGAAATGAATAAATGTCATACATTGTTTTGCTCAGTTATGTCAATAAACCCACTTATTAACAGATGTTTTATTGCTCGAGTTTCCAAATATTTTATACCCTTTTATAATGATATGCGTTTTTACAGCAGTTTTTCATCTATGAAAAGGAAACATAAAGCTTGAAGTTTTTCTGTCCTCTTTTAATGTTTTTCTAATTTCCATTTCCACAGTAGAGTATGAACTTCATCTTAAAGAAATGGCTGTATGACTTTATACCCAATGGAACAATGAGATGGCTCTAAGAGCAGATGGTCACCCGCGCTATGAAAATATTATCAAAGACAAGTGACAGGACCCGGGATGTAGCTCAGTGCTAGAGCATGCTTTCCTGGTATGCCAAGGGCCCAAAGCTCAGTCCCCAGTACTGCCAAACAAACAAACCCAAACACCCCCACCAGTGATGCAGGGTGATTGGGTCTCAGCAGGCAATGCCTATTTTGAGAATAGTAAAATGTCAAGCCCTTTGACTCTTGTGGTCAATAATAAGAAGGAATTGCCTTGAACTGGGGGTAATTTTTACCATTACAAAGTTTATGAAAAGATATAACTTTCTAAAGAAAAAATGAATAGGCTTTGTGTGATTTTATTTAATTTATGTTCAATTAACAAGCCACTGAGCAGTCTGGAATGTGGTGTGACCCTCAGCTCGGACAGTGGGATTCCTGCTTCCACAAGGCAGAGAATTTTGCAATGCTGCCAAATGCTAAATGGTATGTGAGCAACACAAACATTGACTAGCTTGCTACACACTTGCCTTTCACCAAAGTACAGCAATATGGAAAGATTCTATATATTTAGAAAGCATTAAAATAGACACTGGATTATGGTATGTGTAGTGAATCACCACCCCCCTCTTCTAAGGGGACTTCTTCTGAGGACTGGAGATAAATGACAATAAAACATTTCCAGTACTAGAAGTTTTTTTCAAAATTGCACACCATGACCAAAAATCAATACCTTCACCATCTTCAGAGAATTATAGGATCGTGGAAGTCACATAGTCATCAAAAGTTACCATTGTTCTTGCCTAGTCTTTTTGTGCCTGTGTCTCTGCATCAGTTAAAATGGCATCCTAAAAATCCTGGCTGCAGGGTGGCATAAGCATTCACCATCATCAGCTATATCAAGGATGGGCTAGATATAAATTGCATTATTAGTCTGGGCTAATAATGGGCAACAAGTTGTATGATCCATTTTAGAAGTTTCAGAGACAAGGCATTTCTCCTTAAGTGTTAACCAATCAGAAAATTCACAAAATGAAATAACAGCACGCCCTGCCCGCCATCCTGTTCTACTTAATTAAGGCTCGGATGTGGTGTAGAATGCTAACTCTTGAAACCCTTTCTCGTGTTTTAAAAATAATGAATATACTAGTATCTGTCAAATTTTTCCATGTTTGTTAAATTCTTGGTGTAAGTTCGTTTGTCCTTTGGATTGGAAGTAAGGGTGCAGTTTTGCTTCTACAGTGCTTCCCCTTCCTGTCAACTTAGGAAAGCACCTCCAGGTGTACTTTTAGATCTCAGTGCACTGAAATGGCTACTTTGCAGGCATGAATGCTTTGTTCCTAGATAGTTCGGGCCACTTTGTTCTCAAATACTATCCTTTTCATTTTGCATGGGGAACCTGAGATATTTGGAGATTACACTTAAATACATTAATCACTGAAATAATTAGGAAAACAATCCTCTGGTTGCTCTATCTTGGGGCAGAGTAACGAACAATGCCATTACATTTGAGAGAATTGAAGCTACAGGTGTTGTGATTTCTAATTGAAACAGAAACATGGCTTTAGAATTTGGCTGTGAAATGGTATCAGATGTTAGAAATAAACCATCACGCACCAGCATTTCAAACTACAGCATCTCTTGACTATGTAAATCCATGGCATTTCTTTCAAACTGATGAAAGCTTTATAATGCTAGCTCTGTGCCATAGTTCCTGCGAAGACAGGGCAGCACTGTTGTGTATTGAGGCCAGCTGTGGCTGTGTAGCAGTTATTCACTTTTCCAAATTACAGTTTTTGATGAAGTAATGCTTTACCCTGCAGCTGATTTCACACTTAGCTCTCCGTGTATGTGTGGTGGAGCATGTGCAAACAGAGTTTGAATGGTGGCTGCCAGCCTCTTATCCCCTTCTCTCCCAATGGTGATGTCCTCCTAAGGATATTTATGTTAGGAAATTAAAATAACTACCAATAATAACAAACACCCATATTAGCACCTCTCAGTAACAGTTCACATTTTGTGATGTTTGTTTTCAGCCTTAAATGTCTCCATTGACAAAAACTCCCAGTTTCCATCCCCTCACCCTTTCCTCAAACCCCACTACCATTGTGCATTGGATGTGTTTCTTTCTAGTCCATGTTCAAATACAGTTGATTCTTGTTATTCAAGGTCAGTCCCCATGAACACTGGATTAACAAATACCAAAAGATTACTCTGAGGGGAAAGATAGGGTTAGGTCCTGCAAGGTGCTAGTCACAACATTTTTGTCAGCTTATCAATCCATATCTTATTTTGTTTTCATTTAAGACATCATGTTGAACACATGTTGTTGATTCATCTCATTGAACTCATGCTAACAACACTATAATCCATGCCTGAAGAATGTGCATCGAGCCCGGTGCTATG